TATACTATATGTGGTAAAAATTTGAGCTGATTTGGATCGATAGTTATCGAGAAAATTAACGTTAAAGTTTAAAAAAAATTTAACGAATTTTTTGTTATATATCGTTAGTAATCACTAACAATAATAATCGGCAGGAGGGATGTATATAGATTGTAATCTAGGGGATTACTATCGATATATAGCACCTTTTAAATTTTGCTGATGTAGAGTTCATTATAGTCAGAGTTGACTGTATCAGTCTCGCCATTATAAAATTATGATTCAAATTCTAGTCTCATCATTACAAAATTATAATGATCCGAATATCATTACAAAATTATGATACAATTAATCCACAAAATTTGGTTTCTTATGCTTTTTTTTTTTTTTAAAAAAATATTAGATAGTATTACTAAAATTAAATTTTATAGAATTAAAATAAAATATTACTAACGGATTTTTATTATTGTTGTTCAAATCTTCTCAAAATGATATCTACATTAGCATCCTCAAATCTATTTTATTTAATGAAGAAAATTGCATCAATTTCTTGTTTAGTAAGGGGTTACTTTATTAACAGCCCGATTGTTTTGTATGTGGTGCTAGAATGTCGATGCATGACAAAATCTTCAAATGCAGAAGAAAAAGATACAGGAAAGCCGTATCGATTTTTAACCATTATTCTTTGCTAAAGGCTGATTAAAGGCTAATAAAATCTTTCTAATCAGCTATTTATGGCTTTCCAAAGCATTGCATAATTCGATTATAGCCATCATAGGCTATTCGCTAAATACAGTAACAGACTATATAAAATATTATAGGTCATTAGTTGATTAATTTTTTTTTTTTTTTTTTTTTTTTTTTTAATTCTAATAAAAAAAATTTTTCTAAAGGTCGCTTGTCAGCTTTGACATTCAAGAGACCCAAGACAAGATTGGGAGTCCAAATATTATAGTAGAGATAGATGAGTCAAAGTTTGGTAGAAGAAAATACAATCATGGCTATCGTGTCGAGGGGTTTGTGTTTTTGGTGGTGTAGAAAGAACCCCAGCAAGAAGAATTTTTGCAAAGGCCATTGATGACAGAACTGCTGTGACCCTACTCTCAATAATTGAAAAAATATAGATCCCAGGTCTATTATTTATTTAGACCTGTGGCGTGACTATGCAAGAATAGGCCCTGATTTAGGAATTTAGCACAAAGTAGTAAATCATAGCTCAAATTTTGTAGACCCTAGTACAAGCACCCATATGAACACAATTAAAGGCACCTGGAATGGCATTAAGATTCAGGTTAATAATATATACTAAAAATTAAACCAGCTAATTGTTGAATATCTATTTAAAATTTTTTAATAAATTAAAGAAATGCCTATTTTCATTATAAAAAACTTACCATATAGCGCTCTATAAAGTATCCTTTCAAAGGGTACTCCATAGAATAGTGCCCAGGTATTAATTGGTCTCATGCTTCTGGAAATCATTATATACCTGAGCATTATACAGTATTATATACTGTATTGAATAGTATTCTTGGTTAGTACAAGTTTTCCAAGTACTTTATAGAGCACTATACAGTACTATTTTCACCACAAGTCATCATTTGTAAATTTTCATGGTGGAAATAAAATGTTCCCTAAATTAAAATTTAAAAATAAGTATTAATTAATTGCAATTATTTATAGGTGCAAAATAACATCCAAAAGTATAATTTCAGATTATGGTCTGCATTAAATTTAACTTAGACCATAATGCAAAATAATACTTCTGAATGTTATTTTGCTTTTATTAAAGAAAAGTTAAATTCATCAATTTTTTTTTTAATTCAGATTCCATCAAGAAATCGTATGAGGTCTAAAGTTTTGAATCATTTGTTTGAATTTATATGGCGTCAGCAGAACAAAGAGAATCTTTAAGAGAAGATATTGAATTATATAAAAATACAGGGTATTTTGAGGAAGAAGTAAATGAAACAAATGAGAAAAATGAGGATGAAGAAAATGACGAAGAGGATGAAGAAAATGAAGAGAAGAATAATGATAACAATGAACATTATAATGAGAATGAAGAAAATAAGAGTGTGGGAGATAGAGAAAAGGATAAAAATGACAATAGTGATAATGAGAGTAATGAAGAAGAAAATGAAGAGAGTGAAGATAGAGAAGATAGTTATGATCAAAATGATGATAGTAATAGTGAGAATAATAAGGACAAAAATAAAGATGAAGATAGGGATGGTGATGA